ACAAGCTCGGGGGGGGGGGGGCAAGAACAGCAGAATAACCACTAGCCATTGTAGCTTTCATAAGGGCTGCCTTTTGTTGACAAAGTCACTGGCTAAAAGACGTAACATGGCAGGAGTTATACATGCCACGGGAAAACTAAACTGCCCTAGGGAGAGTAAATGGCCTCGCCCAACGGGTATGCCCTGCAGAGACTAGAGAACAGGACTGGAGGAAAACAGTGTGGAAGCACAGATTCCCCTTTTTATGTCCAGAGAGTAAAAAAGGTAATTTAATTATTTTATTTTTAAGCATGACCTTTGTTTGGTGTTGGGATTTTGCTTCTTCTGCAGTTCATAGTATTAAATCATTCATAGTATTAGACAGTTCATAGTATTAAATCGTTCATAGTATTAAACAGCTCTTTAGAGCTTCAAGACTCTGTACCAACATTAACTAGTGAATCTGCACAACACCCTTCCTAGGCAGGTAAGTTGCAGTATTCCTATTTTGTACATAAGGAAACAGACACAGAAGTCAGAAAGTTAAACAAACAACCCCCCACCAGCAACCATCCAGGCACCAAAATAAATACTCCGGTTTTCAAACAAGTTGAGCACAGTGGGTGCTAGGCCCTTTATAAAATGTCACCGGAGGTGCCCCAATGGGGGCTGTTGGGGGCCGAGTACGTCTGAACATCTGACCCTTATTTAGGTGGCTAAATGCAAGCTGAGCTTTTTTGAAAATCTGTCCCAGAGAGGCCAAGGGTATGTAGGCCCCTGAAAATGCAGCTAGGAGTCTAATGGGATTCTCAAGAGCACCTAGCGCCAGCTCACATAGATTTCAATGGGAATAGGGTGACCAGATAGCAACTGTGAAAAACGGAACAGGAGGTGGGGGGTAACAGATGCCTATATAAGAAAAAAGTCCCCAAAAAACCGGGACTGTCCCTATAAAAACGGGACATCTGGTGATCCTAAATGGGAATTAGGCACCTAATTTGCTTAGGGGCATTTGAAAACCCCACTAGGAATCTATTTACATCTTTAGGTACCTAAGTCCCTTTGAAAAACTGGCCCTAAATGTGTTGTCCAGAGCCACAAAGAAAATCAGTTTCAGAGAGACGCAGAAGCTCATGGATTCTGGTCAGGCACTCAGGTCCCACCTGTCTTTTTCTGTGAACAAGCTAAGATAAGGCACCTTTGGAACAAAACAAAAGGGGATAATGCCGCTTTCACTCCAGTTCTGTGCATTTCAAAGGACTTAAAGCAATGGGACAAAGAACTGAGGCCTGGTTTGGATCTCACTGGTGCTGGCATAAAGCAGGAGTAATTCCATTGAAGTCAATAGACTGTGACACCGGGTGTGAGTGAGAACAACCCCATTTATATCATATGTTGCGATGAGGTGTATTGAATGCAGCCATTATTACAGACCCAGCAATAAATTCTATGTGGTCTTGAATATTAGAGTCCCCTGGGAGATGGGCTGCTACGTAAGACACCAGCACTATCCCCTATTATTTTCAGAGACCCCAAAGAAATCTTTACTTTCCACTTGGCCAGCTGCTACAATTAAGCAGCGCACAAAGGACCACCCCGTTTATAGGACGTCACTTCTCGAGGTCAAAATTCTTGGGGAAAAGAATCAAACTCTCACCCAAACCTGCATTTCTTCTGAGCCCCAATGCTCAGACCCCTGAGGCCAGGGCCGGCTCCAGGCACCAGCTGAGCAAGGGGAAGGGGCGGCATGTCAGGCTCTTCGGTGGCAATTCGGCGGAGGGTCCCTGTCCCTCTCGGAGGGAAGGACCTGCCGCCGAATTGCCGCCGAAGAAGAAAGCGGTGTGGTGGAGCTGCTGCCCCCGACCGCAACTTTTTTTTTTTCCGCCGCTTGGGGTGGCAAAAACCCTGGAGCCGGCCCTGCCTAAGGCAGTAGGAGTGGTGGGTGCAGAAGGAACACAGAATCAGGTCCATTGGTAGCCATTAGCTGCAAAGTACCATGGGATAGATTCTAGCCACAGGTGCTCAGATGCTACAACGATGAGAGCTGTATAAGAACCAAACAGAATAGAAAAAAAAGAAATTAAGTAGTTGATAATAAAAGGTCATTTGTCAAATGCTGACTGTATGCAGTGCTATTTAAAGAATGAAAGAAGGCATGTGCCCAGCCTTGAGGAACTTGCAGTTTACCAGTTCCCTTTCATAGGTTAGAAAGCCAGGAGAGGAGGGATGGTCCAGTGGTTATGGACACAGGAACCCAGGGTTCAATTCACTGATCTGGAGAGGCAGGGGCGGCTCTATGTTTTTTGCCGCCCTAAGCATGGCAGGCAGGCAGCTTTCGGTGGCGCGCCTGCAGGCGGTCCGCTGGTCACGCGGATTCGGTGGCGTGCCTGCGGGATGTCCGTCGGTACCGCGCCATCGGCGTCCCCGCCGCCGAATTGCCGCCGAAGCCACGGGACTGGCGGGCCTCCCACAGGTGCGTAGCTGAAAGCCGCCTGCCTGCCGCCCTCACAGTGACCGGCTTGCTGCGCTGGTGCCTGGATCCACCCCTGTGTAGAGGTTTGGTTTCCTGCCTGACCTTGGGCAAGTCACTTTGTCTCTCTGTCCATCTGCAAAACAGGAATAAAAGTACGTCCCTACATCACAGGGTTGTTGTGAGGATCAACACACTGAAAACATATGAGACACTCAGAAGCGGTACCAGTGGTTCTCAACTTATTTTCCATTGTGGGTCATAGAGGCAGCTCTCTAGGTGTTATGTGGGCCGCATCCACACAATATATATACTGCCTGGATGGCCCCGAGGATGTCACATGGGCCGCAGCTGTGTGCTGATTGGGCCACAAACAGCCCACGGGGTGTGGGTTGAGAACCACTGACCTATAGTGATGGAGGCCATATAAGAGAGGTAGCATGGAGAGCTTTGCTATTTCTGTTTGTCTGTTTCACTTGAAAGCATGAAAGGGACACAAGACACTAACCCAGGTTCATCTGTCAGGACAAAATCTTATGATCTTGTATTGGGGGCGCTGAGCAAAGTTTTCAAAGATGGGGAAAGGATATTTGCCAGAAGCTATCAATGGAGCTTAGGTGCCCTCTAGTGGTACCGGTAAAACATTTCCATTTCAATGAGAGCTGCCTTTGCTTTCATTTCTACTCTTCTGAAGGAGACAATCCACATTTCAAAGCCCCTTTTTGTGTCTTTTCATTTCTCTAAACAAATGGAGAAGTGAGAGTTTTATTTTTCCTCTCAGTAAAAGAGGGGGAGAGGTGAAGGGAAAATGACTAATTCAAGTGATTTATTTCTAGGGGAGAAGGCAGGAACGCTTGTTGAGGAAGACACACTGGCTGCTTCTAATGATGGGCTCTTTCTCCACAGCATTTCAGAGCACTAGTCAGTCTTAGGACAATTATGTGCGTACACCTCCTTTTCTGCCTCCCTGCAAACGGCTGAATGCTCTGAATCTCCTAGCAAGTTCTCGGCATGAGTTGGAGAACCTGTGCTGGACACAGAGGCTGAATAGAGAGGTTTAGTTCACTGGGCTTTAAATTTGTTGGGGTTTTAATGGAACCGTGCACGACTCAGTTGCTTTGTTTTGTACGTGAGCGTTTCGCTCTGGTTTCATCACTGCTGTGTCTCACTTGCACCCTCGGATTTGAAGGAGCCTGACAATTCAAAGGAAACCAAGCTGAATTTAACCCAGACATGCAAAGTCAATGTTTCATGGTTTCCAGCTGAAACCAAAACTTGGCCCTAGTCTTGCTCAGAACTCAAGCCCTGGAATCAAGGCCCTGGGTTGATTTGAAACCAGGCCGTCATGGTGCTTAATCTTGATCTCAGGCTCACTTGAAATCAGGCTTGTCAAAGCTTCGCCCCTAACTACCTGTACAACTTTGCCACAGGTTCATTCCAAACTCACTTGATAGATGTTATGGAAGGACTATATAAAAAAGACATAGGTAGATATACACATGTATGTGTAGATAGTTAATATAAAGAGCACAAAAGAATATGTAGCGTTGTTCCTAACTTAGTAGGCTCAATAAAGCTGGTGTTGTTAAGCCCTGCAAATGGCTACCTCTTAACAACAGATTCACGAATTTCAGCAAACCTCACGAGTGTCTGTTTTTTAATGAAATCACAAGCTTGGCGAACGTCACCTGACTGCAGGGCTCCTTATGAAAGTTTTGCACAGCGCTAGTCAGGTCACAGTCAGACTGGAGACGTGGTTAGCCCCCTGCTTATGTTTTGGCATGTGTTGGCTTGATTTCGCGCCGCCTGTTCTCACGTTCATGAATCAGCATCGGTGCAAACTGGGGGGGGAATAAATGTAGCTTTCAGGCTCTTGTCTATGCTCATCTCTTTTTAGGTCTGGCTCCTGGAGATGAACGCAAACCCTGCGTTGCACACCAACTGTGCAGTGCTGCAGGACATCATCCCCACCGTGGTCAATGGGACTCTGGGTAAGTAAAGAGCCCTGCAGTCCATGTCTCAGTTTCCCCAATGCTCTCCATGAGACATGCCCACTTGCAGCAAAGGCACAACAACATGGCTTTGGGCATTATACAGAATAGGAGTCAAGTCAGGTTCTGTTTGCATAAGGGTTTTCATGGATCTCAAACTCTGGATGGGTCTAATGCCCATTGCAATCAATGGACAGACCTGCTGGCAAAACTGGCGTGGGCCCCTTTGTGCACTGAGGCTGGGACTCTCAAAAGCACTTATGGGACTTAGTCCTATTGACTTTCAGTGGGACTTGTGCTCCAACATCACTTAGTTGCTTTTGAAAATCCTACCCAAGACTGTTTAGGATTGTCGCTGTTTTTAGCCACCTGCTTATTCAGGGCAGAAGGTGTCTGAAGATGTTTTCTCTTACTTTTATGTAAAATGTGTGGGCTGCGTTTTTATAAACTGCCCTTCAAATTGTACCCAGACATTCCTGCAAGTGCAGCTTTCCCATGCACATTCTTTTGCAGGCACAGGGATTAGCAACACGCAGGCACAGTCTATCCAACTTGGGCATTTATATGGCCCCCATTAGCATTGTATTTAATGTAGTTATCCTCACAGCAGCCCTGTAAGGTAGGGCAATGCCATTGTCCCCATTTTACCAATGGGGAACTGAGGCACAGAGGGACTTGTGAGTTGCACAAGAGGTTTATGGCAGACGTGAGAGTGTGCAGTAGAGTTTGGTGTGTGCGTAGAGCTGTTTAGCCATGTCATGATTATGTCTCCTGTCACAGATTTGGCCCTTGAGATTTTCAACAAGAGCTTGAAAGGCCAGAGGATTTTACCTTTGCGGACACAGAGCCATTTTGTGCTGCTCCATAACGGGGGTACATCTGAAGCTGGACCAAGATCCTCAAAGACCAGGAACGCCCTGGGTATCTCTAGGAACCAAAGGTCATTGACGGAAAGCACCAGCCACCTTGCTCGGCATTCTCCCAAAGCGGCAGAGAAGCCTCCAAAGAAACCAAGTGACTCTGGGGAAAACACCATCTCCCCTCCTCAGAAGGTTTCCCAGAGAACTGTCTTAACTATGCCACAGGTGCAGGTCACTGACATACACAGCATCTACGCCTGCCATCCTTTCAAACCCACAGCCCGAAGCGGCCAGGTGAGCAGTACGTGCAACCAGTACATTATTAGGCCTCTGACATTCTCAGCGGAAGGTAGCCTGGCAAAGCACCGCACAGACGATGGCTCAGAAAAGGACACGGCCAGCACTATCGTTCCCACAGCTGCTGCTTCAAAAGAGACCGCTTATGGCGTGTGGTTACAGCAGACTTTCGGGATTAAATCTCCCACACCCACTAAAGAAGACCTGGCCTTCATCAGCTCCCAGATGGTCTCTCTGCACCTCCAGTCCAAGGTCTCAGGTAGCTCGCCTTGCTTGGGAGGCCACTCCAAGCCGCTCTGCCAACCCCTGACCCACCCCACAGCCAAGGAAACACCATCGACCAGTGACAGCAAAGCAGCGGCTGTATCCCAGGGCGCCGAGCCGCCTCCAGATGATCAGAAAAAGGTGTCCCATCGCGGGTCTTAGACTGAGATTGCTGTGTGTTGAGTATATGATGCTTTCCTATAAGGAACATAAAAAACCCCCAAACATTCTATATATCTGTGACGTATCTAAGCATTTTATGGAAACAGTCACTGATTTTTAAAAGCTGTTTTGTTATTTTAAAAGAAAGAGAGAGATGATTGTGCAATACACTGACCACCAATGTAACCCCCCCCCATAATCAATATGGTTCACTCCCCTCCTCCTGCACACAGCTGTCAATTTAGAAAGACCATTGCACTTTGATTTTTGTTTTTTAAATAATAGCATCATCCTATAAATCCATGGAATGAGACTGAAACCACAGCGTGTGATGCCCTCTTCCAGAGTGTTTCTTTCCATGGCAGCTGAGCAGTCTCAGTTATACCCATGTATGCCATTGTGTGTCCTGTGCAATTATCTATGTAATGTGCACTCCTAATCATGTATTATTGCAGATATATGCGCACGTGTTCTTGTTTATGCACCAGGCACTCATGTTCCAGGGATCTATTATTCACAATTCTATTAGCATGATCGTATAGAGCTGTGGTTCTCAACCTATTTACCATCGTGGGCTGCATATGCAGCTCTCTCTGTGTTGTCAGGTCACATCGACACAATATTTATACTACCTGCATGGCCCTGAGGCTGTCACATGGGCCGCAGCTATGTGCTGTTTGGGCCCTGAGAGGCCCACGGGCTGCGGGTTGAGAACCTCTGGTATAGAGGTCTGGTGTCCCTAGCCTCTGTTTGCCGGAAGCTGGGGTTGGGCGACAGGGGATGGATCACTTGATGATTCCCTGTTCTATTCATTCCTTCTGGGGCACCTGGCATTGGCCACTGTCGGAAGACAGGATACGGGGCTAGATGGACCTTTGGTCTGACCCAGTATGGCTGTTTTTATGTTCTTCTGTCAGTTAAGCTAGTGAGATTTCCCAGCCCTCTCTTGCATGGTCTGCAGAAAGCTGGTTAATAGCATAATACTTTCTATAGTGGTACATTCCACTTCCACCTGGGATGAATCATTCCTCTCCCCCCCCCCCATCCTGCTGCACTTTGTTCTGCTGCCTTTCCCCAGCTACAAGGAGCCACCCTCTTTTCTGGACACCACACTATGGCAGGGAACAAGGCACAGGTCCTCCAGCTCTGACCACTCAGAGGTGTGGTCTTTTCCAAGCCCCTCTTTGCTCTGCAGAAGGGTCAGCGGGAGGGCCCCATGCAACAAACTAGTCCCAAGTGAGTCACCTTTGTTGTGCTTGGAACCACAGCGGCTCGAAGGCAGGACTCCTGAACAGCATTCCTGTTTGCACTGAAACACGAGTGGGCTTTTCTGTAAAATCCTGCCTGTACGCATTTAATAACCGTACTTAAATAGCATCGTATCAACCTGAACAGAGCCGCACAAGGCCCTTTCCCCCCACACGCGCTTCCCGTGCAGTAAGCCCCCATTTTATAGAGAGGGAAGCTAAGGCACCAGGAGTCAAAGTGACTGGCCCAGAGTCACAGAGGGAGTCAGTGGCAGAGTGTGCAATCCAATCCTATATTCAGCCCGTGACCTCTCTCATTGCAGAGGATCATGGGAAAGGCAGCAGTTCCTAATCCGATTTAGGCCACATCTACACTATGAGCTAGGGGTATGTTCTCAGCATGGCTCAGCAGTACCTCCGCTGCCGTTACTGCGTGCTACGGCGGCTGCCCTGCCACTCGCACTCACACGAGCTTGATGAGAAGTAGTGCGAGTCCGTGTACACGAGCAGTAGGGTCACAGCTCTAGCTGGTAGTGTCGATGTAGCTTTAGGGACTGTGTGTGTGCCAGGCCCCGGCGCCCAGATGTGAGGCCTTCCTATCACCGTGTAAAAAACACCTGCCCCACCCCGCCCCGCACGGCCCTGGCCAGAGCAGGAATCGTTCCAAATGAGGTGCGAGGCTGAAGGGCAAAGGAGACCTAATGTCCCAGGTTGTGCCTGATCGTCTCATCCTACCATAGCATGTCATTCAGGGCTTGTGAGTCTTCCCTTCCCTGGCTCTCAGCACTCAATAATTCCCCTCCCAGGGTACATCCCCCGGATCTGTGTGAGCATAAGGTGATCCCATGACCAGACGCTATCTGCTGGGGCCTGCACTTTCCCAACCACCATGCGTGGCTCCCTCCAATCCCCGCACATCCCCAGTAAATCACGGGTAAGCCCCTCGTGTCGTCAGAAGAGGGCACAGGACCCACCCTTTGCGTTCTCCTCCCCTCGCTGGCGGCAAAGAGTCTCTGCACAAGGTGCCCACGCAGAGGGAGGGGATTTCCTTGGCTTCCCCCACCCCACGCAAACCAGCCACTGTTGGCAGCGCTCGTGCTGTTCTGAGCATGGTGAAGACAGACCTGGAAAGCCAGTGCTCGGCTCGCTCCAGCTGAACCGAGGCAGCAGTCTGTCTTTAGAACCATCAAACACATCTGAGGTTGCAGAATGAGCTTCCCTGACTATTCCAGAGCCAGCCTGCCTCTCCAGCGGTGCTTAAATCACTAGTGCGGACGAGGTGCCAGCAGTCACGTTCTTGCCTGGGCCTGCTCTGAGCCACTGTAGTTAAAACACCAGTAGCTGGTCTACGGTACCGGTCCCGCTGGCGGACATAAAGAAAGGCTCATATGGCCCCCCTGATTAGCAAGGGCCTTGCAGTGAGGGACAGGGCTAATGCAAACATTCATTTCCCCTGGACCCAGGATGTTTTTTTCTGCTGATAACTGGCCTGGCCCAAATCAAATATCTTGGGCTAAATTCCTCTCCGGTGTGTTTCCATAGAACTCAATGGCGTTCCATCACGGAGGAATGTGTCACTTTGGTGGCTGATGGTTTTATTGCTTGAAAATCCCTGATGGCTTATGGCCGCAGATCCGTTACACTGGGGGACAGAGGTAGGCAAAACACCTAAAACTGGGGCCCCGAGCCCCTTCGAATGTAGAGACTGAGGGTTATTGGATTTGGAGCTCCCCCTCCAAGGTTGGATCCTAAACCAGAAGCAACCTGCCTTCTGGTTCTGATTTGGAAGAGCCTTTTCCCATGAGATTTTGGCCCAAGATGGCAGAAATCTTGCAAAAACCAACTAGCTCACATGGCTTCAGCTCATGAGAGTTCTGCTCTGTCAGTTCCAAACCTTCACCCCAGCCTTGATCTGGAACCAAACTCTCATTCTTGAGCTCAGTTCTGCTGGTGGTGAGGGCTGAGTAAAGATTGATCTTCCCCAATGAATACCACTGGGCTAATTAATGCAAATCAGGGCAGGCCTGATTCCACAGACTGCAGTGATGCTACTGCACGCTGCAGAGTTCTTCAGTTTCGCTGTCATCACGTTATTATAAAGGGACTGTGTGCACCCTCGGCCCACCCAGCAACTCTTGAAGCTCAGTTCAGCTTCAGCGGAGCATTTCTCATACATCACTCATTCAGGAAGTGTTATGAAACTCAGCAGCAAGCACCGGTTACTGCTTTCCGAGAGTGGGGAGGAGTTAGACGTACGGTTTGCTGCTCTGTAGGCTGGTGACACCACCTCAGAGCATCACTAGACAGGCCTCCACAGCTGCTTCCTGTCCTTTCAGTTCCGTTCGTGCCTGTGCGTTAAAAAAAAAAACAACACCCACCGTTTGTGTTAACCCTTTCATGTCCATGAGATGCAGGACATGAGGTACATCTAACAAAGTCGATTACTGCTCCGACTGCCAGTGAGCCCTGACCAAAACCCAGCTCCACTCCTAAGATCCTCCAAACTTTGGGGAAGTTCAGATCCAAGTCCAAATTTTACAGCTGACTCCCTGCCTCTAAAATGGGCCAAACCAAACCCCAGAGCCTCGCACTCCTGAGCGTTGAGGAAGTTCAGATTTGGGTAAAATCTTCACAGCTCGGGCCTATTTCTGCTGAGAACCCTGAGCCCGTTGATTTATCCTCAGCATCCCAAGAGGCAGGACAAGGACCAAGTCAGTTCAGTTCGCATCTCTACCTAGGGAGGTGGTGGAATCTCCATCCTTAGAGGTTTTCAAGGCCTGGCTTGACAAAGCCCTGGCTAGGATGATTTAGTTGGGGTTGGTCCTGCTTTGAGCAGGGGGTTGGACTAGATGACCTCCTGAGGTCTCTTCCAACCCTAATCTTCTATGATTCTCTCTCCTTTCCCCCCTTCCTTCAGCAGCGCCTCTTTCCCTTTCCTCTTCCTCTCCCTCCACTGTCTTGAAAGAGACCCCTCCTGCTTTGTCCACCAATCCCTCAGGTACTAGAAGAGTCACTACCTGACTGGCCAGCATTCAAGTCAAACCAAACCCTTTGTTTCATAGAATCCCAGAAACACGAAGAGGAAAAGGACCTTTATTCAGGCCCATCTTCCCCATCCACCCTGGCCCTGCACAGCCCCATTCTCAGTCCAGTTTCAAATTGGTTTGGTAATAGGGCTCTCCCCCCTAGGGAGACTATTGCATACCAAGCCCTGTGGCAGAACAATGTCCCATTCCCATCGTCTGCGCTGTCTACACAGACTGTTCAGAGCCCTTCCATGGCTAAGCACCCACCATAGAGTTTACTCCACCTTACTCATCCATACATCACCTGTACCAGTTGCTCTTCAGCCCTTCGCTGAGGAGAGGAGAGAGAAGAGATCTCTCCACACAGAGATCCTTCTTGGTTCTGGCTCTGCTAGCCAGCACCTCCTTCCCGGGCCTTCTTCTACCCTCTGTGCTAGTGGGCTACTTAACTCTTTTGTCCTCCCCGGCCCATTCTTATGCACTGATTAGGCACAGTCAGGTCCACCTGGGTGGGCGGGGTGTGGGGGGAATAACTGGTGTTTACGTGATCAGCTGGCTCAGCTGTTGGTTCCCAGTGCTCTCCCACAGCCTCATTCGTTGGAAATTTGTCCCCAAATCCTGCTCTCAGCATCCCTCCGGGTGTGTATTACAGATGGCTTTCATTCTTTATTTTGGTTGGGTTTGACAGTCAAACTGTCACATTTGCTTATCCCCTCTGCCCTCCCCCCCCCCCATCTCCTTAGCCGGAAGCTGTGACACTGGGGGATGGTAGAGGAAAGGTTTTCAGACCAACAGGAAACACTTTTACATCTCAGATCTTCCTGCCTCTAACCCAAGCAAGTTCTTAATGAGCAAGTAAGCAGACGGGCACGGCACGTTCTCCTCCCGCCATCTGTGCTGTCGCCTCATGCTTACGGACCATTTGTTAGAGACAACGTCAGTACGTCAGCCTGCGATTTCGGACTCGACCCCGGGGGCTGAAGCGGCTGAGGGCAGGTGTCTTGCCTGGGGGAGTTGGTGAGAAGAGATGGGGTGCTGCAGCATGAGTGCCCGGCGAGCTGCGTCGGCGGGGACATGCCAGGATGAGATGGAGCTGCTGGAAATAGGTGGTAGCAGGTAGGCAGCGTGTCTTTGAATCTGGACGTTTGGAAGAGCTTGATGGCCTTGCTGGATACACAGAGGTTACCTTCCATCTAGAGCAGTGGTACAAGCTTTTGTACTGGTGACCCCTTTCACATAGCAAGCATCTGAGTGCGACCTCCCCTTATAAATTAAAAACACATTTTCATATATTTAACACCATTATAAATGCTGGAGGAAAAGCGGGGTTTGGGGTGGAGCCTGACAGCTCACGACCCCCCCTGTAATAACCTCACAACCCCCTGAGGGACCCCCAGTGTGAGAACCTCTGATCTAGAGCCCACTGGAATATTCCTAGCAATCAAGCAGTTAAAAGCTGAAACGGCCATGTCAGAATTTAGTCTCCTGCCTGAACATGACATTAACTTTCCTGTCCATGTCACAACCTAGATAAACCCCATAGGACAAGTGAATAAAGGAACTTCTCCTATTCATCTTCCATTTCCTGTCCCTTCCTCTCCCATGACAGAAAATGGTCCATTTCAGAAGCGCAGAGTGAAGGCTCCCTCCATCTCAAGGATCCCGTGACCGCGACAGAGACAGGAGGTGTGAGTATAAGCAGAACCTCACAAGCCAAGAATCACGTGTAGAGTCAGGTAGGAGAGTCCGGGCCTGTTTATTTCAATGGGGCATGATGTCATCATCACTGCTTAGGCTTTTCCACTCCAGTAAGGCGCCTGACACCATTACATGGATAGGCCCTGAGCCCCAAACAATGATGAATGGTTCTCATTATCGCAGGGTGCGGGGAGGTCTTTTCCCCTCCAGTTTTACACAGTCATACAAATCCACACACTGTTTCTCACAGAACCTGAGGCTAGCGGAAGAGGAAGATTTTCAGGGGAGGATCAGCGAGCTGAACCCACAGGTGAGTCTAATGCCATTATGATTTGTGTCAGGGTAGCTCCTAGGGGCCACAAACAGGCTCAGATGCTGGGTGTTGTCCCCAGAAGCACCTCACAATGCTCTTCGCCCCATTGTACACAGAGACATCTCACAGTAGATTAATGGCAGGAGCTGGGAGCTGAGTCCAGGTCTCCTGAGTCTCAGTTCAAGCCAAGACCATCCCTTCCTCTCTGAGCCTTACATCCAAACACCAGAGCAATGTCTAGGAGTTTGCACCTAGATTCCATTGGGTCCACCTCCAGTTTCCGTATGTTTTTCAGGACACTTCCCACCAGCTAATAAAGAGACGTTGTTTTTGCTTCCAGGCAGAAGTGCTGTGGGGGAGAACACGGGAGGAACTAAGGAACTTCCTAGTCACACAGCCCATCACTGGCTGGGAAGGGAGGAGCATCCACTCCCTTGGGGAAATAGTATGGTCCTCACTGGTTCTTATGCGCAGCTGTCACATGCAGGTAACCATCCTCATTCTGTTTGCACCGTCTGTCTCTTTAGCAAGGGATTTCCCAAATGCATGGGGGGAAAGCAATGTATTTTTAAATGGTAGGAGCAGAACGACTGGGGTAATTTGGGTCTCGGGCCCACAACAGGATCTGCTGTCATGCTATTGTGGAAAACAGATCCTGTCAAATTAACTTGATATCTTTTATTTTTTGATGAGCTTACAAGTTTGGTGGATGAAAGTAGTAGTACTGATGTAATATACTTAGACTTCTGCAAGGCATGTGACCTGGTACTGCATGACCTTGTGATTAAAAAACTAGAACCATATAAAATTAACATGGCACCCATTACATGGATTAAAAACTGGCTAACTGATAGATCTGAAAATGTAATTATAAATGGGGATTTGTCATTGAGCAGGTCTGTTTTCAGTGGGGACCCGCAGGGCTAGGTTCTTGGTCCTACACTATTTATCATTTTTTATCCATGACCTGGAACAAAACATACAATTATCACTGATAACGTTTGCAGATGACACAAAAATTGGAGAAGTGGTAAAAAATGAAGAGGTCAGGTCACTGATTTTGAGTGATCCAGATCGTGTGGTAAAGTGCGGCCAGCAAAGAATATGCATTTTAATATGGCTAAATATAAATGTATATGTCTGGAAACAAAGAATCTGAGCTATACTTACAGAATGGGGGACTCTATCCTGAGAAGCAGTGACCCTGAAAAAGATGTAGGTGTCATGATGGATAATCAGCCGAACATGAGCTTCCAATGCAATGCTGTGGCCAAAAGAGTTAATGGGATCCTGGGATGTCTAAACAGGGGAACCTCAAGTAAGAGAAAAGAGGTTATTTCACCTCTATATTTGGCACTGGTGCAACTGCTGCTGGAATCTTGTGTCCCGTTCTGGTGACTACAATTCAAGAAGGATGATGATAAATAGGAGAGGATTCAGAGAAGAGGACGAGAATGAGTAAAGGAATAGAAAACACCTGCCTTATAGTGACAAACTCAAAGAACTCAATCTATTGAGAAGGTTAAGGGGTGACTTGATTACAATCTATAAGTACCTACATGGGGAACAAATATTTAATCATGAGCTCTTCAATCTAGCAGACAAAGATATAATACAATCCAATGTCTGGAAGTTGAAGCTAGACAAATTCCAACAGGAAACAAGGTACATTTTTAACAGCGAGGGTTATTAACCACTGGAATAATTTACCAATGGGCATGGTAGATTCTCCATCACTGACCATTTTTAAATCAAGATTGGATGTTTTTCTAAAAGATACACTCTGGGACTTATTTTGGGGACATTCTCTGTCCTGTATCATACAGGAGGTCAGACTACATGATCACCACAGTCCCTTCTGGCCTTGGAATCTATAAATCCCAGTGCAGAATTGGAGCCATACTTTGCTAGGAGGGAATTTGGGATTGATAGTGAAAGATAAAAATTCAGCTTTTTTCACCGAAGTCAGCTAAAGGTGGACAAGTCTCACACGAGCTTCTTAGAACTGGTTGACGTTTTTCATTCAAAATGTTGTGTTGATGACATTTCGTTTGTTTAAATGGAAATATGCATGTCCAAAGAATTCTGAGATGTTTTAATCAAAAAGCAAAAAAAGAAAAGAAAAAAAAACTTTTTTTTTAAATCTAGTTTTCTGGCACCAAAAAAGAAAAAAAAGTCTTTGGATTTCATTGTTTTAGGGGAAAAAAAACATTTCCAGACCAACCCTAGGGCTTCCCCCTTGTTACTGTTTCCAATAACATGACAAATAAATTGTCTCTCTGTAAGATCTGCATGGGATCACAACTGAATGAATTCCAGCTGAGAAAAACTTCCGCCTGATGTCTCAGGTCATGTCTACACAGGAGCTCTCAGGGAAGTTAAGGCGAACAGAGGCAGCTAATATGGGGATAAATAATATCTAAACTCCTTGTCTCGCAGCAGCGTTGTGGTTAGTTGATTCGTGTTTGAGATCCTCAGAGGAAAGGTGCTATAGAATGGCCATGTATTCAGAGTAGCGATTTGCTTGAATTTTGGCTCACCCCGGGCCATCTGCTACATTACACAGCACAGCTCATAGCTCTCTTCTACGGCCCTTAAACAACCTGCCCTGTTGGAACCAGGAGCACATATAGATGTACGAAATACGGCAGTGATGAAGAACGGGTAAGGCAAGGAGCTTGGGGAAATTTAATCTCGATCATATTTTATTTTAAATATGTCTTAACATTTTAGGACGATGATGATAATAGAACCTTATTTCCACAGGAGATGTCCGAACGGTACATTGTGCTGTTCCCCTTCCAGCTGTTGATTCTATCAGTGGATCACATGAAGAAGGCGTTTGTCTACCAGGTAAAACACAGGGTTCCCTTTGTACCATGTAGAGCCCCTGTTCACTGGAGCACTGGGCTTCATCCATCAAGGCCCCAAGCTATCCCTTTGCTGTACGTCTGCGGCACAAATACAGTAACTAAATATCAGAACAGGGGCTCAACTAGAAAACTCTCTAGCTACAAAAGGAGCGTCCCAATCCGTGGGACTCCAAAGCAGAGGAAACCAGAGGGAGTCCCGGCCTGACCATCATCGGGGCGTGATGAGGAGGGAACAGACAACAGAAGGGAGAGAAAGAAATCACAGATGTATAGAATTATGAGCTACAGGAGCCAAATCAAAGAGTAAGGCATGTTGGCCAAAGCTTGGGGTGTGCCAACCTGGCAGGGTGATGGGGGGGAGGGGCACAGTAGGTGTATGAATTAGCATGGGGAGCACTTTAACACCACATGGCAGGGTTGAATAATAGCAATACACACTCCTCCAATCACTTGCCATCCCTAGAGCTCAAAGCAGCACTAGATTTCATCCATAGATGCTTTACAAAGGATGTCAGTATCATTATCTCCATTTTACAGATGGGGAAACTGAGGCACAGAGCGGGGCAATTACTTGCCCAAGGTCATCGGCAGAGCCAGAAATCAAACCCATGTCTCCTGAGTTCCAGTCCAGTGCTCTAGCAACTAGGTGATGCTGCCTCCCTTGAAAGAGCTGGGCCCAAGTGGCATTTCATTTTCCAGAAGTAGGGGACCAGCTTTCAGGAGGCAGGGAAACACTGGATGTGGGGGAAGTAGAGCCTGGCGTTATGGGAGAGGGCGTGACTGAAAGAGCGCGGAGAGGAGGGCGTCAAAATGATTGCTTTCTAACAGTAATTTCCCACTGCTGCAGGGCCTGCTTCCGCTGGCGGGGATGAGTGTGAGGGATGTGCCGAGTGACACCGGCTGCATGTTTGAAATGATGGGTAAGCCTTCTTTCTAGACGCCTGTGAAAGGCTTAAACAGGTGGAAGATCCTCTTGTGATGACAGGAGAAAGAGGGCCACTTGTCCCTCTGTGTTCATTCCAGGCACCTCCTCATCCCTCTTCCCATGAACAGGGGTGTCCATGTGCCAAGCGCATGCAACAGGGATAAGGCCCAGGCAGGGCTAGGGGCATTGGGATTCCCAATCTTCACATGTAAATGCGGCAGCCACTGATTCTCAAGCCAGCAAAGCTTCATTGTTAACTGTGACCCTTCGTGCTCAAGTCACCCTAAATGATAGGTCCTCCCGAATCTGCTCCCTCAAAGTGCTGAGCGCACCTCTTAGAGGCCAGTGTCTTTTCAAGCAGAGCAGGAGAACTGTCTAGTTCTGATGGGGACGAGCCCAGAACCCACCATCACGGACCACAAGACGTGGATGAGCTTGTCTCAGCATCAGGACTAGAACTGGTCCCAAAGGAGATGCCTGCAAGGCTGGCTACCAGCTTGTGAAGTCTTGGGGCGGTGGGAGAAATTCACCCATCAGACCCAGAGGCAGTTCTGTCTTCTTCCTGGGATGTCAGAGCTGTGTGTTTCCTTCCATAGGGCCCATGATAGAATCCAGGATCATCTCATGCCCGAGTCCAGCTGAATTCCACATCTGGGTTCTCAGCATCCAGCAGCACATCAAGATGGCAAATGCTCACTGTCCAGCCCACCCCAGCAGTATCATTCCTTTCCTGGTAAGCCTGCCCTGCTCCTGGTGGTGGGTAAAGCCCGGAGTAGATGCGGAGTGAATGGGATGGGGGCAGGAAACATTAGTGGCTCCAGAGTGCAGAGAGACTGAAGTCCTCTGTGCATTCCCAGGTGGGGGTATGATGCACCGAGGCCAGAAACAAAATACCAGAGCGATGGACACCAAGCCCATCAGCTGCAGTGAGCCCAGCCACCCCAAGCACAACCCTGTGCTACCTGAACTGACAATTAA